ACATGCCATTCTTGAAGAGAGCATTTCCATCAGGTCAGACGTGTTTCATTATAACCTAAAGGCACGAAGCCAACGTGATGTTCTTTAGATTTTCAATAAGCTGTTCCACTGAGGGGCCATGTGGAGCCGAACCATGACAGCAGAACACAGCTACCAAATCCCCTAACTACAGGGTCAAGGGTTCAAGTTTTTTTTTTCTTAATTTGTCACCAATGTGAACACACTACGTAGTGTAGCATTGAATTATTCAGCCTTTGCAGCAGCCAGGCAGCACACAGCAAGCCTTGGCTGTAGACAATAAACAGGTGGATAGGATGCATTAGTAAGCATAGGTAAATATGTTATGTGTGTGTCTGTGCATATACGTGTATGAATAAAACCCAATGAAGTAAAGATGGGCCATTTGCAGCATGGTGGAGCCAGCCTCATTTCCCCAGTACCAGCTCAGCCATTCTCCACAATATAACCACGCTTTGCTTCTCACTCCTCTCTCATGCTGTTATGGTTCAGGTGAGCAGCGGCATGTACACACAATTACACATACAAACACACATATAGAAACAGACTGCATCCGTGTGCACTCACACAGAAGACTAACAGTGCAGGTATGTATATAGCAGAGGGCAGAGCGCAACAGTGAGGGAGCAGAAGAGACAGAAATGGAGACAGAGGAAAGCAATCGAGAGGGAGGATATCTACTAGTGTTGACATTGCAGGAGGCTACATGTGTGTGCCGGAGCATAATCTTCCCCCTGCTCTCATTGGGTTTTTAATGTGGCTGCTATTTCCATAAACCTGCCTCCTGAATCACTGCCAGCCGCTTACACTCCCCCCAGGTCGAGCTGTACTAATACTAGGACTGAATGCATGCAGCAAACATATTTCCACCAATGCCTCTCAAAGACAATCACCGTTATACACGGTGCTAGCACAAAAAAAGGGACGGCAGCGTGATTTGTTCTACGCAACAGTAGGTAGACTTGCTAGTCTGCGACTGAGATTATTTCTTGGATCTGTTGGATTTGAGGAGTTGCAGTGAGAGGACAGAGAGTTTTAGGAGAGTTGGGGGAGGTGGAGGATGGAGACAGGGAGGGGGATGGGTGGGCGGATAGTGTGAGGGATGCGGGATTTTGTCATGATGCTAAGCTGGGAGGAGTAAATCTCCTGCAGACTTGTGTAGGGAGCTGTGAAACTCACAAGTATACTCACCATTTGCGGTAGGAAGTGGGCATTAACTGCCATAAAGAGTCATCAGAAAACATTTTAGTGGCCATCAGGGGATATTTATATTTCAGTTGGCTTGGAAAGAAATACTGATAGGACATGCTTGAACAGTCACATACTCAAAAGCTCACTAGTTTGGTATATGTTAGAAAATTAAATGTCTCTCCATCAGCGACACACAAATATATTCCAGACTCGCTGTCATTGGGGGGTATGCAATCAGGGCACACCGCCATGTGCGCATGTTTTTCATCCCACCTTTATACATTGCTATCTGTATATACACAGAACTGGCAGCAGTGCAAAGCCAGCTTACCACATGTACACAAACACACACGACTAATAGAGCCAAGCGGCACACACCTGGTAAACTGTCAGAGCTTCTCCTATTCTGTGGCCAAACTTATGTCAGGCACTCGTGTCCCCGAGGTTCCCATCACACTTCACTGCAGGAATCTATATTCCAGTCCAGTACACTTCCATTAGGCCATACTGTTCCTTTCAGCAGCTAATGTGTAACAGGGGGACACAGATAATAACATCCAAGAACACTAGCACTTCTTCCTAATAACACTGGGTTTTTTGTGTGTGACTCAGCGAGTGTTTAGATATGAAATATGAATAAGCCATAATTATAGCTTTTTGTGAAGCTAAAATGTAAACACTGGAATAAAACTGTAAACCTGAATTAACCTGAAGGTTTAATACTTTTATTATCCACCTGCTTTTTAGTCATGGTCAGTACTGTAATAAGATTTTGTACTCTTCTGTCTTTCATTGTTTTACAAAGTAAAATTCTCCTGCATAGAAACTCTATTTACACAGAGATACAAAAAAATCTAGATTTTGTTAGAAGGAAATTTTGACCTTGAGCAACTACTAACACCAGAAAAACATATGGCTGAGAACACAGTAGATTAATAGTGCCCATTACGAATTCAACATTTGCTTGGCTTTTGCCAAAGTACGCACAGGTTTGCTAAATTTGCAGAGTCTTATACCTTTGAATAAGGAACCAGTAAATAGGGGTGGTTTCAAAATCAAACTGGAATAAAGATCTCCTACAAGTTACAAGTTTCAAGTCAGTTTGCGTTCCCCCTCTCAGCAGGAAAAGCAAAGTAGAGGTCAGAGATTCAGCACTTTGCTCAAGGACATTACAACATACACAGAGTTTGAATTATACACTTACCCAAAATTCAAAACAGTCCATCTCATGAAATTCAAGTATGTGAATGCTGGTGTCCGTGTCTTTGCGGTCATGTGTGTACGTGGGGGTGCTTGTTTGTCGGCCCTGCTCGAGGCGTAGAAAAGCTAGTTAGGTTGTACAATTTCCATGCACGGTTCTAGTCATTTGCAAAAAGTAAAGTCCAGTAGGATTTTGGTGGTTTGGCATTAATTCCAATTCAGGCATTTAAAACAGCAAATATGGATGGGTAGCCACACTGGTCAAACTGAAACGCTCGAGAGCAGCGATGCAGGGGATAATGACAAAACGCAGACGTTAATACCTCATAACCCATCTCAGGAGAATTCCTAGTTTACATTAATTATACCATAGCCCCTGGCAAACTGCATATCAAGCAGGATTTTGCAAACAAACAACTGGCATATCTACTTACCATCAAGCAGCGAAGCAACAGGGGTCATATCGCAAAAGATTTAAGAGCAGCGAGGCTCAAGAGAGGACGGTAAAAGCTATGGGAGGCAGGCACATGTCAAACACACACACTGCAGCATGGATTTTCTTCCTATGATGTGCACAATGTTCTATAATGTAGATGAAAGTTACTCTTCCTAAACCTGACCATGCATACAGGATGATTAGGGACACTGGTGCACACCAGTGTCCCTGTAGCTACTGTTTTACTTATGGCCAGTAGAGTATACAGCACGCACTGCCTGTGCTTTCTTAGACCAGTGGTGTTTGTGTGTGTGAGTGAAGTTGAAGGGAAGAGTAAAGCACCCTCAGCCTGACACCCATCAGCGTCTGCCTGTTACATTTCTATGACATGCTTTGTCTCAGGGAGAGCAGCAGCAGTGGAGCAGTGGGAGCGGGGGAGACAGAAGGATGTGGGGTGGATAGGACTGGGTGGGGTAAAGGGGAAAATCAGCAGGAGGGCTAAAGTAGGAATGAAAGGTACAAGAAAAGGGTTTTATTTCTCACATGTGATACACGGCAACTTCAGCAGCCAGTGAATGTGTGTGTGTGTGTGTGTGTGTGTGTGTGTGTGTGTGTGTGTGTGTGTGTGTGTGTGTGTGTGTAAACATGAAAGGACAAACTTTCAGACTCTTTGTCTGAGTTTGCTAAATTTATAAATACAGCTGTACAATCATAAGATTTTTTATTTTGTTACTATTAACTGGGGCTGTTTATAGCTCTCCATTAAGGTGACTGTTAAACCTGACTGAGCCCAGGTGATTGGGAGGTCTTCTCTTCGCTTTGAACAAAGGGGCATGAGGACTTGTATCTCTCCTTTATACATTCAGCCACATCCTCTATTTAATACTAATAGCACATCAGCCCTTATGGATGCCCCTCCAGTTATTAATGGCTCCGAGCCGTGGGAGGAAAAACTTAGTGGAAAATCAAGAAATCAAGACTCAAATCTGCCTTTTGTAACACATAACTGAACAGAGCTAAAAAAAAAAAAAAAACTAAAAAAAAAATTGGAGATAAATAATCTAAATTTCAGAAGCGGAACCACGCCTCTAAACACGCCCCTTCCGGTTCTCATCTATATATGACCCCCCAGCTCTATGAGCTGTTCGTTCTCGTTTTTGTGCCCCACCCTCCCTGCCCCTTTTCAATTCTTTTACTTCTTCACTTCTCATTAGTACATGGGGATCTGCCAGGCCCGGGAGCCGTCGCCAGTCCCCTCTGAGGCCTTCCCCAAACCGCAGTTCAATTCATATTTAAGCCATTCGCCTTTATCTATGACAAAACGCTGTCAAACCTGAATTGAGGGCGTGGGCCCAGCTAGTGAACTGTCCCGATGCAGTCTTGACCGCATGAAGCAGCACTACCTCTGTGATAGTCACTTCTGCCCACTCCCGTATTATTAGCATCTCTCTGGTTGTTTTCACATATGGCTTTCAGACATTGTTGGAAGAATCAGGCAGGGCTTCTGTCCAAAGTTGCCCACATGTAGCACAACAGAGAAGATATTCTGCCTCAGCCATATTCTGGCTACTAGAAATATTTGGTTTAGACCAGTGTGGCGAGGGCGCTACCTGGACAGAGCATGTAGAGGGCAGGACACATGACACAATGTCAGCGTTGACACTCAATCCACCTACACTGTTGGAACATAGGAACAAACTCACACAAAAGCTTTGCACTAATGCATACATGCATATAAATGTACATCAAAATGTTATCCCTGCGAAATAAAAATGTGTGCAAACTTGTGTTTGCCTCAACAAATACAAACGAAACTAAAACCTACACTCCGTTTCACGTTGTCTTTTTGACTTTCCAGAAATGCAGAGCTTTCTATTTCTATGTCATTCTATGCTATTACTTCAAAAGTATGAGGCAGAGTGGGTCTGATCAATGCTGGCAATATCCCCTTGAGAACAGACACATGAAAAAGTTTAAACCGGGCCTTCAAAAGGCTGAGCTATTGATTGAATTGCTTTCTAAAGTGTTTTTCATCTCTGACACTATACAAGGAGAATTCCGGCTGATGTGCAGCCGGGTGCAGGTGGCATGGCTGACCACCATAGAGAGAAAAGAAAGAGGGTGAAAAGCGGTGGAGAGAGAGGCAGACACTTACCCCTGGCAGTGTTTTCTGTTCGTGGAGGGCGTTCTGGGCTTTTATGGCCGACTCTCGGGCGCAGTAGGTGAGAAATGCACAACCTGCAACACAAAGATCAAAGTCTGAACAACACTTACACATAAATTATGCACACAATGCAAAATGACACAGCCAGTTGCAAGAAATATCAGCTAAAGAAACTGGTACATTAATGAGAATGAACTGAAGGAATTGGACAATTACCAAGCACGCAATTAAACACAATTAAAGAACCAAATCTGTGCTGAAGGTCTCCTGAGTTACTGAAAACCCATTGAAAACATCTCTTAGACTAAACAGAGCAAGTTAATAGAAACAGGCAACCATGCAAGACACAAGGCTACATGTAGAAAATTTTCGATGATGGCAAGGGGAGAAAGAAGAGCCAACCACAGAAAAAAAAAAAAAAAAAAAAAAAAGTAGGAGATGCAAAGAGCATTATTTGGATGAATAGCCAAGCCTGCCCAGCTTCCCCAACACTAGTGCCATGTCCTGTTCAAAGCTCTTAGCAGCCTGGCCAGTGTCCTCACCCTGAGAGGCTGTGACAGCAGCGGAGACAAAAGAAACAAGACTGCAGGGGAGTATTGAGTGGGGTGGAAAAGGAGAGAAGAAGGGATGTAATAGTTTAGGGATGGCTAAAGGAAAGAGATGCTGCCAAAAAAAAAGAAAAGAAAAGACAGGACAGGCCGTTAAAACTCTTGGGTTGATGCCCAACTATGAGACATTGATTTAGAACCAAAGCATACACACATCTGTGGAATTAACTGCACATGAGAAGAGAAGAGAAGAGACCTTTGACCTTTAACACACCTTTATTAAATCAATACTTCAACTCACAACCATAACCGAAAATGAATGCCAAATCAACATATGAACAACCCTCCCCTCCCACCATCAACCCCACCCAAATACAATAAACACAAAAAAAGAAAAACAAAACCAGAAGACACTCCATTCGGCTTTCTTCAAAAATTCAAAACTAAATCATCATCAGTGATATTACACAAAACTCCATTAATGCCCCAAATAGGGACAAACTCTACAATGTTGGACACCATCTTGTAATAAACAAACTCTACTTTCAAATGTGCACCTACTAACCCTTTAAACATAATTCCTAAATTAACAGATCCTGTTCCCTTCATTTTGTTCCTCCTTGTGAGCCATATACTCATCTTCGCCTGACTTATTAAAAAATTAATCAAGCCAACCTTCCTACGCTGCACTGCAGAGTACCTCGGACCCAGGATAAAGAGACCCTCCTCCAAAACACTCCCAAGGCCAGCAAGCCACTGCCGCAGCAATAAAAAAAAAGGCCAGCTAGCCTGGAACAACCTAGCCACAGGTGCTGCAGTGTTTCCTCAGTCAGACAGAAAGGACAGTGGTTCCCTGTTCGTGGATCCATATGTGCCACGTGTCTGTTCGTAGCCACGGCCCCATGCACTATTCTCCACTGGAGATCCGCACTGCGTTTCTCCATGGGAGTTTTGTACAGGGACCTCCAGCTGGCCCTTGGAGATGACCCAGGAGCCAACACACCTGACCACTTCAACTCCAGAACACCAGCCAACAATCCCCTGTTCAGCACCTTTACAGCCACCTCGTATATAGCCTTCTTAGAGATCTTTGACAGGTCACCAGGAACAGGTGTTAGAAAGGAAAGAAGAGAGCCTCCCTCCTCATCCTCCCACTGCGGCACAAAGAGACAGCGAAGGAAAGTCAGCTGAATTTGGTTGACCACCCGCAGAGCGAGTCCCCAGCGCAGCCCTTACGAGTCCAGGAAGACCACCCATGGCTTCTTCCACCAGCTTCTCCAGAAATCGCAGAGACCTGATCCCAGTCTCCTGAGCCAACTTGGCAGCCGTTTTCCACTGCCCCGCCATCCTCAGGCCCACCAGCTTGGTAGGACCAGCATTTATGAGGAACCTCTGCACACTAGCAGTGCTGAGCATCTTACTTGGCACCAAGGGATTGTAAAAAAGAGGCTCCTCACCAACATCACCAAAAATTGAGAACAGTCTCGCTGTGCTGTCTTAAGACGGAACGCTGTGATACGGCTGCAAAGGTCAATCAAACTTTGACCCCCTCTCTGACACAGAGAGAGACAGCACAGCAGACCTGATCCAGTGGAACCCTCCCCAAAAGAAAGTAACCAGTCTTTTTTGTATCCCCTTGATAAGAGAGGCTGGAAGTTCAACAACAGCGGCATGGTGCCAGAGTACAGAAGCGGCCAAGTTGTTAACAACCAAAGTCCTTCCCCTGTAAGACAACTCCGGCAGGACCCAAGTCCATCGAGACAACCGGGCAGCAATGTGTTCAACAACACCCTCCCAGTTCTTCTCCTGAAAAGCATCAGTTCCCAAAAACACTCCCAAACACTCCAGTCCCTCCCTGTTCCACTGTAATTCTGCTGGTAACACTGGCTCCTCTTTATCAACCCACCCTCCCAAAATGAAACCTTCACACTTTGACCAGTTAACCTTCGTGGAGGATGCTCGGTCATATAAGTCCAGTGTCTGTCTGAGTGTTTCAATATCACTTTGACCGGTTATAAAAACCGTAACATGATCAGCATAAGCTGACAATTTTACTGGACTTCCTGCTTCGTCAAAGGTAAAACCTGAGAGTCCCTATCTAAGATGGTGTAAAAGGGGTTCAATGGCCAGCGTATACAACATACCAGAAAGAAAGAGTACTTTATTGGTCCCCGTAGGGAAAATCCCTCTCTGCATTTAACCCATTCACTCAGTGAAGCAGTGGGCAGCCATTGGGCGCCCGGGGAGCAGTGTGTAGGGACGGTACCTTGCTCAGGGGTACCTCAGGGTAGCTGTTCAGGGGAATCGAACCCCCGACCTTCCAATCACGGGGCCACCACTCTACCTACTGAGCTATCCCTGCCTGATGCCCCTCTGAGCTGGAGCAGGCCGACTTAACCCTCCCCCCACCTTTAACATGACAGCAGCATTTGAATACAACAATTGGATCCAAGAAATGAAAATGTTCCCAAACCCAAAAGCTTTTAAAGTTTTAAACAAATAGTGGTGATCCACTCTATCAAAAGTTTTTTCTTGATCCAGAGATAAAAACCCCACATCCAAGTCCTTGAGCTTGGCCAGATCAATAATGTCTCGAATTGAAAACAAGTTGTCCATAATAGTTCTTTCAGGGACACAGTATGCTTGATCCACATCAACAATCATGTCAATACAGGTCTTCAACCTGTTAGAAAGACATTTTGCAAGAATCTTGTAGTCCGTACAAAGCAAAGAGACAGGCCTCCAATTTTTGAGCAAGGCAGTGAAGTCAAAACTGCCCTTGTGCAACTTGTTGGCAAGATCCCAGTGGTCATACAGTATGTGAAAACCTCATGAATGTCCTCTCCTAGCAGCGACCAGAATTCCTGGTAAAATTCCACAGGAAGACCATCAACTCCTGATGACCGACCACCGTTGAGTTGTTGAACCACTGAAGACATCTCCTCAAAGGAAATAGACTCCAGCACAGCCGATTCAGCCTCATCCAGCCGTGGCAGCCCCACCAGCATCTTCGTCACACATTCAGGGTCACACGTGTCAGCACTAAAGAGGCTGGCATGAAAGTCAATGGCAAGCTTCCTCATTTCTACTGAGTCAGATATCACCTTCCCATTTGGAAGCCTTAAGTGCAACATTTGGTGTGACTCTCGAACCCTTTTCTCCAGCTTAAAAAGGAACCTTGTTGGGGCACCTATTTCTTTAATAGTAGAAATCCGAGTCCTAATAAGAGCACCCTTTGCTCTTTCGTGAAGAAACTTGCTCAAAGCCTTCCTCCTGCTGTCCCAGGTATTATTTGTATTATCTGTCCCACTTATAATCTCAGTCTCTAGCCTCTTGAGCTCTCGTTCTAAGTCCTCAAAGTAGTCTTTAACAGTAGCCGTTGCATGTGATGTGTATTGGTGACAAAAAAGCTTAATCTGTGTTTTCCCTGTTTTCCTTTGTTTCCAGTGGCACCAGAAATCAGAAAAACCAACAGGTGAAATCTCTGCTTTAACTAGTCTATTATTATACATCTGGTTGATATACAGGGAGTGCAGAATTATTAGGCAAGTTGTATTTTTGAGGAATAATTTTATTATTGAACAACAACCATGTTCTCAATGAACC